AACACCAGCAGTATGCTGCTACACTATATGATAGTTACACAGTGGGAACACCAGCAGTATGCTGCTACACTATACGATAGTTACACAGTGGGAACACCAGCAGTATGCTGCTACACTATATGATAGTTACACAGTGGGAACACCAGCAGTATGCTGCTACACTATATGAGTTCCACAGTGGGAACACCAGCAGTATGCTGCTACACTATACGATAGTTACACAGTGGGAACACCAGCGGTATGCTGCTACACTATATGATAGTTACACAGTGGGAACACCAGCGGTATGCTGCTACACTATATGATAGTTACACAGTGGGAACACCAGCGGTATGCTGCTACACTATTCTATATGATAGTTACAAAGGTATCTTTAAGGATGTGTTCTCTGTGATATGACATATCTTAAGCTCTCATACCTACTGAAACCATAATGGAATATTTGACAATATCCTCACTGCCTTACTGTAATTTCCCAGCTCAATGTGGTGACATAACTGGGCAAGAGAAGAGATGCTGGGGTGGAGGAGAGGTGCTGGGGTGGAGGAGAGGTGCTGGGGTGGAGGAGGTGCTGGGGTGGAGGAGAGGTGCTGAGGTGGAGAGGTGCTGGGGTGGAGGAGACGTGCTTGGGTGGAGACGTGCTGGGGTGGAGGAGACGTGCTGGGGTGGAGGAGACGTGCTGGGGTGGGGAAGATGTTGTGAAAGGAGAGGCTTGGAAATTCTCTGCTGTCTTTTAGTAAATTCCAAACAGCAGCAAAACCAGCTTCAACAGCAACAGCATCAATATATATATAATTCATGTGTGTGTGTGTGTGTGTGTGTGTGTGTGTGTGTGTGTGTGTGTTTTTGATAGTGAAAACACGGACCCAGCCAGGAATGGTTGTTGGGTGCAGACCTTCTCAGGTGATCATCGTTTTTGTGCTCTTATCAGCAAGTGTGAACCATATAATCAGAAGGTTTCTGGAATTTAGGTGTTTCAAGTCAGAAGATTACTGGAAGTTGAGCCTTTTTTACCAGAAGGTTTAGTTAAACCTGGGACGCTCCATTAGAGAGGGTTTTTGGATCCTCAGTTGTTCCAGAGGGTTTCTGGATTCTGTATAGTTCCAGTCAAGAGGGTTTCTGGATCCTCAGTTGTTCCAGAGGGTTTCTGGATTCTGTATAGTTCCAGTCAAGAGGGTTTCTGGATTCTGTATAGCTCCAGTCAAGAGGGTTTCTGCATCCTTAGTACTTGTCAGAGGGTATTTCTCCAGTCAGTAAGCTCACGGATCTTGGACCTTCCAATGAAGATTGATACTGGAACTCGGATACTTCCTATCAGAAGATTTCAACTGAAGGATTCATGAAATCTTATGTTTCCCAGTTAATTTCTGGACCCTTGTTTATTCCATTTATAGTTTCTGGAACCCGACATTTTCCAGTTAGTCTCTGGAACCGTATATTTCCCATTCACAGGTCTTCCAAAACCCCCAAGGCTTTCCAGTTAAGAGGGGGTTCCAGGAAACCACTACAGGTGTCAGGTCCACGGCACGATAACCCTATAATTAACACACGTCAGGTGCCGTCACCTGGCTTCCCCACCTGGTCCACACCACCTGGTCCTTATCCATGACCTCAGGGGGGCCACTCCATTCACCTTCACCTCTGAGCACAAACAGCTCTTCACCCATCCGGTTACCAACCCAAAAAAAAATATATATATAAATCTTGCTCCAGTGCCCGCCATCTGTGTAACAGGATACGACACATTACATTGTTATCTTCACGGGGGAAAGGGCCCGTGGAATGAAAGGTAATCAGGTTTGATTACCTTTGAAGCCTGACTTGAGGGGCTCAAGTCAGGCTTGATAAAGCCTGTGCCAAAAGTATGAAATAAATCCATTGATATATTAAGGTTTTCCCTTCAAATTCTGTTTTAGTATATTTATTTTGGCACATGTACACATAAGTACAATTATAATACACAGTGTAAATTACCAACTAGGATAGCCCCAAAAACAGTCAAAGTGACTTATTTCCATTAGGGTCCTATACTTGTGAATTGTTGCAGCCAGTGTTGTGAGATTTGTTCTCTAGCAGCGGTACTCAAGACTGGTGGCACAATACACACATAGATCATCATCTGTGCCCACAGACTGGTGGCACAATACTGACAAAATACACACACACACACACACACACACACACACACACACACACACACACACACACACACACACACACACACACACACACACACACACACACAATCATCAGTACTCACCACAGACTGGTGACACAATACACATGCAAACAACATCAGCAGTACTCAACACAGACTGGTGGTACAATACTGGCACAAACATCATCAGTACTGGTGACAATACTGACACAATCATCAGTACTGGTGACACAATACTGGCACAATCATCAGTACTGGTGACAATACTGGCACAAATATCAGTACTGGTGACACAATACTGACACAAACATCATCAGTACTCACCAGCCTTCTTGGTAAACTTGATGACTCTGCCACCAAGTGTTGGCAGTTCAGCGAGGGAGGGCAGGTCCTCCAGCGCTATGTTGCCTCTCACGAAGTGGTTCACCATCAGCTCTCTCGTGAAGTTCTCCACCAGGAAGGGATTGAAACCCCAGTCAATGGGGTAATAACCGTAGAAGGCGCTGTCGTAGGGCACCAGAGCAGTGTACCTGCCGGCTGAAAGTTAGGGAATGATGGTTAGATGATGGTAATGAGTGGTTGTAATTGGTGGTAGTAGCAGTAGTGGTGGTTGTAGTGGTGTATACACACACACACACACACACACACACACACACACACACACACACACACACACACACACACACACACACACACACACACACACTACCACCACTATCTTAATTATATACGTTGACAAATATAACAAATTAAAATATAATTTAAACACACACACACACACAAATATATGTCGTGCCGAATAGGTAAAATTGGTCAATGCAATATATTTTTTTTCGTTAGGTTCAGAATGAGTTTTACGAAATTATTGCATACACAAATTTTCGCTCGTCTTATTCGGCAAGAAGACCGTTGCTATTTTAGCCGAAATAGCAATTTTTACCTATTCGGCACGACACACACACACACATATATATATATATATATATATATATATTTTATATATAAGCATATACATATTCATCATATTCTTAAATTATATATTTAATATTAATTATATATATATATATATATCATATATACAAAGTAACCAATAATAAATATAATTAATATTAGTAATTTCCATATTATCCAAGTACCCTGTAAAAATAGTGAAGTAACAGATCTTCGATTATTAGAAAGGACCTGAAATAATAGAAGATACTTATATGTTCTATTTCCTCACAGTGATTGTTTTGCATAGTGATATCAGTTATAGTTGTACCTGCATAAGCACTTGTTCACCCACTCTGGAAGAAACAAGATGACGCTTACTGTCACGGAACCTGCTGGTGATGTTAGCATCCTTGAAGTGGTGAAGGAACTCTGAGCCTGTGTAGGCAGCGTTGGCCTCCAGGGACTGCAGGAAGGACGCTAGGAAGGGTTCTTCCTCGCTGGGAGGCTGCACAGTGGACACCTCGAACTCAGAGAACTCGAAGTTAGGCGCTGAAGAAGCCGAAGAAGTATCGTCTACGATGTCCCCAGAGAATTCTTCGTCATAGCCAGCTTCCAGTCCCTTGGGGGTTCCTTCGAAGTCACTGGTCAGCAGCTCGTCAGCGAGGACAGGTTCAACTTCTGAAGTGACTTCCACTGGTACTTCGACTGGTACTTCAGGCTTGGTGCGTCTGAAGGTGTTGATACCTGAAGGACGGCTTCCCCGGCGGGGCTTGAAGGTAGCGAACCTGTGAGTCAGTGGTGGTAGCCGGCTGGTGACCTCTGGCAGGCGGCTGGTTACCTCTGGCAGGTTGCTGGTGACCTCGGAGGATGGCAGTGACTCGCCTTCCACCACTACCGGCAGTGCTTTTTCAATAATGTAGATGACACCATCACTAAACCTGTATTCATTACCGGTGAGCCTAACACCGTTCACCTTGGCTCCTCCTGTAGAAGAAGTGAAGCTTTTACCCTGGGGACACTGAAAATAGCACTGAAAGGGGGGTTTAATGTAACTACCGTATTTCGCGACTTATCAGACGCACTTTTTTTCCATCAGATGTCTCCAAAAACCACCCTGCGTCCTATAAACGGAAGGTCAGTGACAGGAGCTATAAGTCTGGGGTATAGGGTGGACTGTAGCTCTCCCAGTTACGTCCGATGCCGAACCATTGTAATTAAAACAAGTCTTAAGCCGCGAAATACGGTATTACCCTTGGGTAGTGTAACTATTAGGTAAGATAAATACACGAGTGAGAGACGAATTAGAGTGGCACTTACACACGAGCTAGTGTTATCAAAGCTTATTCCTTGGGTAGCACTGAAAATGGGTTGGGCAAATATTTTTTAGTGTCTGGGAATGAAAAGGACTTGCCTAATATGGGCCAATAGGCCTGCTGCGGTGTTCCTCCTTATGTTCTTACTAGTGTTTCAGTGTAACTATTAAAGCTGAATGAATTTAAATTTAGGAATAAGAAAACGTTAAATCATCAACAAACTCGTCAGCAGCGTCAATGAAATGAGAACTTTGAGTAACCTTATAAAAATAGGCCTAGTAGGCCTACTGCAGTGCTGCTCTCTTGGTGGGTTAATGGGGTTTAGAGCCTATTTACTGCACGAGGGTCATTAACGTGTCACTTGTACACCACCAGTCAAGAACACTTGAACACCTAAAATAGGGATCAAATGACTCCTCAGTGTATATACACTGAGAAACTAACCTCTCGGTGTATATATCTTCCAGTACCTCACGATAATAACAAGAGACTGGAATGCGGTATAATGCGAGCCTTGATTAACAACGTTTCGCCCACACAGTGTCCTTTATCAAGTCACAAACAAATCCGAGGGTGAATCACATAAAGCCCATTGTGAGAGCGAAACGTTCTCTCTCTTGTTCCGTCGTGTGGGTAATTCAACATTTCTCTCTACCTCTGTCTCACGCAAGACGTCAGCCATTAATGACTTGCACCCTCAGTATTCCTTGCCTTGACGAGTGCATGTACTCTCATTTAAGTAATTTCTTAACTATTAAGCATGGCTCAGTACTCCCTGTCTTGAGTACATGTACTCTCAATTAAGCACTACTTAACCACACTAAGCATAGCTTAGCACTCCTTGCCTTGAGTACAAGTTACCGCAGAAATAAGTAAGAAACAACGATATCCACAAACATTGAAAGATTACATCCTTTACCAACAGACTGAACATCAATCGGTTGAAGAACTAAACATGTGCAACATCTGGGCATCTTTATTTGTAGACGTTTCGCCATCCAGTGGCTTCATCAGTCCAATCTTGATCGATCAGGATTGATCACATCGACTCCAAGCTGAGGGACTGGTTATCCCAAACTCCCTCCTGGTCCTCACAGAGAGGTGTACTTTTCTTTGTATACACACGCTGTCTCAGATCTGTTTGGATTTTTAACCCCGGAGGGTTAGCCACCCAGTATAACCCAAGAAAGTGCGTCCTCGAAGACTGGCTCATTTCCATTGTGGTCTTGTCTTCCAGGATGCCACCCACACCAGTCGAGTAACACCCAGGTACCTACTTACTGTTAGGTGAACAGTGACAGCAGGTGTAAAGAGACTAACACCCAGGTACCTATTTACTGCTAGGTGAACAGTGACAGCAGGTGTAAGGTGACTAAAACCCAGGAACCTACTTACTGCTAGGTGAACAGTAACAGCGGGTGTAAGGAAACACGCCCAATATTTCCTCCCTTGCAGGGGATTGAACCACAGACACTCAGTGTGTGAAGGGAGTGTTGCCTACCAGGCCAGGGGCCACCATAACGACCTTCGTGTAGTTGATAGACTTTAAACCCCATTAACCAGCCAAACAGTGCACGGCAAGATATGTAACAGTACTCTTACCGTGTACTGTTAATGGGAAGATCATTCATAAGGGTGAATACTGTTAGAAAGACCCTTTCTGTTATTTCTGTTACTTCTTCATCAAGTTTAAAGCCTGTCGACTAAACGGTGGTAATTAAGATTATTTGTCCTCTACAACATAAGAATAACATCTCTATTAGAAGTTTTAAAGTAAACGTGCAGTGTGTGTGTGTGTGTGTGTGTGTGTGTGTGTGTGTGTGTGTGTGTGGTGTGTGTGTGTGTGTGTGTGTGTGTGTGTGTGTGTGTGTGGTCTGTGTGTGTGTGCTAGTGTGTGTGTGTGTGGTGTGTGTGTGTGTGTGTGTGTCGTGTGTGTAGTGGTGTGTGTGAGTGGTGTGTGTATTCTGTGTGTAGTGTGTGTGGTGTGTCGTGTGTGTTATGTGTCATTGTAGTTGTGTGGTGTGTGTTGTGCTGTGAATGTGTGGTGTTGTTTGTGGTGTGTGTGTGGTGTTGTGTTGTGGTGTGAGATGTGTGTGGTGGGTATGTTGTGGTGTGTGGTGTTGTTTGTGTGTGTGTGTGTGTGTGGGTGTGTGTGGTGTGTGTTGTGTGTAGTGTGTGTGTTGTTGGTGATGTGGTGTGTGGTGGTGTGTGTGTGTGTGGTGTGTGTGTGGTGGTGTGTGGTGTTTGTGTGTGGGTGTGTGGTGTGTGGTGTGTGTGGTTGTGTGTTGTGTGTGTGTGTGTGTGGTGTGTGTGTGTGTGTGTGTGTGTGTTGTGTGTTGTGTATGTGTGGTGTGAGTGTGTCGTGAGGTGTGTGGTGTGTGTTGTGGTGTGTGTGTTGTGTGTGGGTGTGTGTGTGTGTGTGTGTATGTGTGTGTGTGTGTGTTGTGTGTAGTGTTGTGTTGTGTTGTGTGTGTGGTGTGTGTGTTGTTGGTGTTGGTGTTGTGTGTTGTGTGTGATTGTTTGTGTGTGTGTGTTGTGGTGTGTGTGTGTCTGTGTGTAGTGGTGTGTGTGTGGTACACTACACCTAGTTGTACTCACCTAGTTGAGGTTTGCAGGTCGGTCCAAGCTCCTGGCCCCGCCTCTTCACTGGTCGCTACTAGGTCACTCTCCCTGAAGCATGAGCTTTATCATACCTCTGCTTAAAGCTATGTATGGATCCTGCCTCCACTACATCGCTTCCCAAACTATTCCACTTCCTAACTACTCAGTGGCTGTTGAATTAGACACATGTGCAACTCTTGGGTATCTTTATTGACGAAACGTCTCGCCACACAGTGGCTTCATCAGTCCATACATAGGAGAAACTTGAAGAACAGGAGGAGAATGAGGTAATCAGTCCCTCAGCCTTGAGTCGATGTGGTCAGTCCATTCTATTCAAGATTGATGGACTGACCACATCGACTCAAGGCTGAGGGACTAATTACCCCATTCTTCTCCTGTTCAAGTTTCTTCCATGTATGGACTGATGAAGCCACTGTGTGGCGAAACGTTTCCTTAATAAAGATACCCAAGAGTTGCACATGTGTCTAATTCAACAACATGTCGGTTCTCTGAACCATTCATCTACTCTGTGGCTGAAGAAATACTTCCTAACATCCCTGTGATTCATCTGTGTCTTCAACTTCCAACTGTATCCCATCTCTGGAGCATCCTTTGTCCACCTTGTCAATTCCTCTCAGTATTTTGTATGTCGTTATCATGTCCCCCCTATCTCTCCTGTCCTCCAGTGTCGTCAGGTTGATTTCCCTTAACCTCTCCTCGTAGGACATACCTCTTAGCTCTGGGACTAGTCTTGTTGCAAACCTTTGCACTTTCTCTAGTTTCTTTACGTGCTTGGCTAGGTGTGGGTTCCAAACTGGTGCCGCATACTCCAATATGGGCCTAACGTAGACGGTGTACAGGGTCCTGAACGATTCCTTATTAAGATGTCGGAATGCTGTTCTGAGGTTTGCCAGGCGCCCATATGTTGCAGCAGTTATCTGGTTGATGTGCGCTTCCGGAGATGTGCCTGGTGTTATACTCACCCCAAGATCTTTTTCCTTGAGTGAGATTTGTAGTCTCTGGCCCCCTAGACTGTACTCCGTCTGCGGTCTTCTTTGCCCTTCCCCAATCTTCATGACTTTGCACTTGGTGGGGTTGAACTCCAGGAGCCAATTGCTGGACCAGGTCTGCAGCCTGTCCAGATACCTTTGCAGTTCTGCCTGGTCTTCGATCGAATGAATTCTTCTCATCAACTTCACGTCGTGTGTGTGTGTGTGTTATGCAAAAATCGCGAACAAGCAATACAATATGCAAAACCACCACGGGCGGAGTTGAATGATAGCTCTAGGCCTTTCGAGTTGCAATCAACACATCAGGAGCGTTGCAATGTTGCAAAAAAGTGGAGGTCGTCCAAGCAAATACGATCCCAGGAAGCGCCAGCACACACCCACATGGAGGGTGTATCAAGCCTCTATCACCCCCTGTTTGCAATGACACACACGGGTTTAACGCTTCAGGAAACACAATTTTATTAATGAGATTAACAGGAAACATGAATTAGGTGAAGCCTGAGGCTCAGGACCCTCCACACTAGGTGATACGAAACAAATACCACTAGCTATTTACCGAGGCAGATGAGTGACGGTAATCAGGTGCCCTGGTACATAAATTATGTGACAGATGACACTACACCTATGCTGAGAGAGAGAGAGAGAGAGAGAGAGAGAGAGAGAGAGAGAGAGAGAGAGAGAGAGAGAGAGAGAGAGAGAGAGAGAGAGAGAGAGAGAGAGAGAGAGCCTACTGAATGTGTAAAACGTTTTCTAAACAGATCTTTCAATTAGGTCAGAGCGAGATGAATTGTGATGCAACAGTGTGGTGATAAATACTGTAAGAGACACTGCAGTAGCTGACCCTGTGAGATACTGCAGTAGCTGACCCTGTGAGATACTGCAGTAGCTGACACTGAGACACTGCAGTAGCTGACCCTGTGAGATACTGCAGTAGCTGACCCTGTGAGATACTGCAGTAGCTGACACTGAGACACTGTAGTAGCTGACCCTGTGAGATACTGCAGTAGCTGACACTGAGATACTGCAGTAGCTGACCCTGTGAGATACTGCAGTAGCTGACCCTGTGAGATACTGCAGTAGCTGACCCTGTGAGATACTGCAGTAGCTGACACTGAGACACTGCAGTAGCTGACACTGAGACACTGCAGTAGTTGACCCTGTGAGATACTGCAGAAGCTGACAGTGTGAGACGCTGCAGTAGCTGACAGTGTGAGACGCTGCAGTAGCTGACAGTGAGAGACACTGCAGTAGCTGACAGTGTGAGACTGCAGTAGCTGACACTGAGACACTGCAGTAGCTGACACTGAGACACTGCAGTAGCTGACCCTGTGAGATACTGCAGTAGCTGACACTGAGACATTGCAGTAGCTGACAGTGTGAGACTGCAGTAACTGACAGTGTGAGACTGCAGTAGCTGACCCTGTGAGATACTGCAGTAGCTGACACTGAGACACTGCAGTAGCTGACAGTGTGAGACTGCAGTAACTGACAGTGTGAGACACTGCAGTAGCTGACAGTGTGAGACACTGCAGTAGCTGACAGTGCGAGACACTGCAGTAGCTGACAGTGTGAGACACTGCAGTAGCTGACAGTGTGAGACACTGCAGTAGCTGACAGTGTGAAACACTGCAGTAGCTGACAGTGTGAGACACTGCAGTAGCTGACAGTGTGAGACGCTGCAGTAGCTGACAGTGTGAGACGCTGCAGTAGCTGACATTGAGTCACACGTAGTATATTACCAGTATATCACAGTATATCAACATATACTATGAGAGATATAGTATACTTACTGTGATCAGCAGTGAAGGTCAGCGGTGACCCAGCCAGAGAGGTGAGTGGTGAGTTGGGTGGGTGTTGAGGGTCAACCACACTACCCAAGACAGCGTGGTTGAGGAGCACTCTCACTGTGCTCTCTCGGTCCACCAAGAAACCACCATCCTTGGGCAAGCCAGAGTTCAGAGGCACCAGTAGAGTCCACGGCTCACCTGAGGAACAAGAAATATATGTACGTTAAAACTATACACTTTAACAACCTAGACACACTGGAACATGGCTCACCTGGGATAGAAGATAGATATCTTAATGGATAGGCCTGGTGGTGGTGATTTAGCCCACCAGGGATACTAGTAACCTAGCCGGAGCCGGGCGGTAGTGACATCCAAGAGTCTGCTTATCTTGTTGGAAGAGCCGCAGACATGGGGCTCCTCCTGCATGACGGAATGATGATAGATGGACTGGCTGGTATCAATCTCCCTCACTCTCAAGTCAATGAAGTTCACCTGAAGTGTTTTTCGTAGTATTGTTCTCAAACTGCTAACTGACATTCCAAGATTGTAATCTACTTTCTCTCTGAAGCCATATAACTTAGCCAGTTCATCAGTTCTATCATGCATCTGAAGACCAGTGTGAGATGGAAACATGTGTAGTAGACGCAGATGTGGTAAAGACAGGTGTGGTAGACATAAGTGTACTAAACACAAATGTGGTAGACACAGGTGTGATACGTGATAGGATTCTAGACAGTGGAGTCAGTCAGGCGTCAGCTGACAGATGAATGCCTGATGTTGTCAGAAAGGTAGTGGTGAGTAGTTGTTTGTTCCTTTATCCCCTCTCTTTCTGCCTCCCCCCTCCCTCTCTCTCTCTCTCTCTTTCTCTCTCAGTTTTCGTTTAAATTCATCCTCATGAAGGCTCAGAAAGAGAGAGAGAGAGAGAGAGAGATCCAGTGAGGTAAACGTCTACCTCAAGGTTAGTTAATGGCCTGAATAATGGGGTTTATATCTTATCAACTACATGGGGATCATTAAGGCTGTCTGCATGGTAACCTTTATCACCACCACGAGACAAGAATACCTCAGTCCCTAAACTAGAAATGAGAATCAGCACTCAGACGCTGAGAGAACTACACCTCTCATGGCATATATCCTGTGAGTGCTGCAACAGCTGTCAACCCACAATTCTAGCAGGTGTCATCGAAGAGTGCAGTGTTGCCACAACCTTGACACCAACACCAGCACTTTCAACCTCCAAGACTCGCGCTACTGCCACTTCCATCCCTCTAAGGCACTAAACCCTCATGTTCTACACGTCGTCTGGGGTATGGACTGAGTCTAGGATTGATCCAAGGGCAGGGATAGCTACAGTTTCTTGGATCAAGAGCCCCTCTTGAGAATAATCAAGGTAGGTGTACCCTAGAAGAGGCTAGGCTGGTAGTACTGCACGTCACCAGCATTCCTGGAACCGGATTCATCGCACGTGAACGCCGCTATGTTGTCGTTCTTGTAACTGACTAATGGAAGCGGATTTAAGGATTCACCGTTTATGGAAGTTGTTGTAGTGCTGTCGTTCTTGTAAATCTGACCCGTGGAAGCGGATTTAAGGATTCCCAGCTCATAGAGACTTTTGTAGTGTTGGCCTGTGATACTCCAATACTGAAACTATGTATAGTGCCAAATCAAAAGCATTCACATTGCTAAACTCACAAACTAGTATTTAGTCACTTAGCCATAATACCAACTTACCTCATAATTTTGTAATAATTTAAACTTAAGATTTAATTTAAGTCTGCCCGAAATGCCTAGCCATGCTAGGTGTTCTAGTGGTACACTCTGTAATTATTTTACTACATGTAAACAATACAATAACCAAATTCTGTAAACTCAGCATTGTAATCCTTATAGAGAATAAACTTTGAATTTGAATTTGAATTCTGACCAGTCGGATTATTCTGTGCGGTTCATGGGAAATGACGAGCCGGATATCTGCTCATTACTGGGCGTTCTTGTAAGATGTTGTAACGACTGTTGTATTTGTTGTATTTATATTTACCTGTGATGCTCCTGGCCCGGTGGTCTGGTGGCTAAAGCTCCCGCTTCACACACGGAGGGCCCGGGTTCGATTCCCGGCGGGTGGAAATTCCGACACGTTTCCTTACACCTATTGTCCTGTTCACCTAGCAGCAAATAGGTACCTGGGTGTTAGTCGACTGGTGTGGGTCGCATCCTGGGGGACAAGATTAAGGACCCCAATGGAAATAAGTTAGACAGTCCTCGATGACGCACTGACTTTCTTGGGTTATCCTGGGTGGCTAACCCTCCGGGGTTAAAAATCCGAACGAAATCTTATCTTATCTTACTTATCGTTAAGTTTCTTATATTTCTTTGTTTATTGTAGTTGTTACTGGTTCTTTTGTTATTGTCTTTATTATTATCGTGAGAGCAACGCGTCTTGCAGAGAGAAGTGAAGGTCATGGTAGTTGCACTAAAGATGTACTCTGCCATACTTCCGCGATAGCTTTTACCGAGTACTATTTGGGTCAAGATTACTGGGTAAGGTGGGTCAAGATTACTATGTAAGGTTGGGTAAGAGATGGTGAACGGGGCAGACCAGCAGGTAGGTAAGTTGGTAGGTAAGTTGGTACGCAGGCAAGCAAGTAGGCAAGTACGTTATCAACCTTGGTACTAGATACCGACAAATTGGTTGAGAAAGAAACGTAAGCAAACACCAGGACATATTTATTAAAAAACGTTTCGGTCCTGGGACCTTGATAATAATAATAATAATAATAATAATAATAATAATAATAATAATAATAATAATAATCTTTATTTCTACAAGTACATGTACAAGGTATACAGACCAAAGCTAACATCAATGACATACTACTATATAGAAAGTCACTTGTTATGAGCATATCGGGCAAATTAGGTCAATTTTGTCCCCAGAATATAACACAAACTAGTCGACTAACACCCAGGTACCTATTTAACTGCTAGGTGAACATGGACAGCAGGTGCCGTGAGGAAACCACGTCCTAATATTTCCAGCCGTACCTGGGATCGACTCCCGGACCTCAGTGAGCTGAGTACGCTACCAATCGAGCTACGGGACACCTTGATCACTTTTCAAGGTCCCAGGACCGAAACGTTGTCTAACATGTCCTAGTAATTGTTAAAGTGTCTTTCTCAGGCAGGCAGGCAGGCAGGGCCGGAAAAGCAAGGCAGAACAAGGGCAGGACACTGCTGGACAAGTCAAGTCGCAGCAGAGCAGGAGAGGGCGGAATAGAACCGGAAGAGAAGAGCAGGGTGGGGCAGGTTAAGAGAGGAAGGGAACTTACAGGGCGGGGCAGGACAGAGCATGGTAGACCAGGAAAGGCAGGGCAGGGTAGGGCAGGGCAGGGCAGGGTAGGGCAGGGCAGGGCAGAACAGGACAGGAGAGGACATGGCAGGGAAGGGCATGGCAGGGAAGGGCAGAGCAGGGAAGGACAGGGCAGAGCAGGGCATGCAAGGGTTGAACTGTGTCAAACACCTAAAACATTTTCAGGAACATTGCGTAATCACTTTCACCATCAGAAACACACAGTCAGAAACCTGAGTGGCTCCATAACCCACTTATCACAATATAAAAGTAAATAAACACATTTACAGAGCGATTTACAGTGTAAACAGACCCCCAGAAAGTAATGGTGTACTGTGGAACTAACCACTGGTCTGGGGGCGAATATTATCCCGCTGAAATTCAATTATCACACAAATTGCAGATTGGAACTGACTCAGTATCTGATTTCCCAATACACCTCTTCATATAATAATAATAATATCTAAACACCAGTTTGTAATTGTTAGTGTGGTGGCCAAAACCGAACACACGACAGAACATGGCACTGGGGTGTATTTCTCTAAGTGTGTATAGATATTCACAGTTTAATCCCTATTTTAGGGATTTAGAGTATTGTTGATTGATTGTGGAGAGGAAGTGCAGCCTTCATGACCCCTGGTGTAGTGGGTAGGCTTTAAACCCCATTAACCACTAAACAACCTGTAAGATCGCCGGTTCAGTTGATATATTCTCTGGTATTATGGTGAGACCACACAACCGGTTGGTGAAAGGAATTACAGGTGCAAATCAGATCAATGCCAGCGATGCTACTAACCTTTCTGTCACACTTCCTTCCCCAACACCATCTTGAGTGGACTGATAAGTCAGTGGAAGGCCTCGGTCAGATAACCAGAAGCTCCAACTATGGGTCATATGAAGACCCGCGTCAGGAAACACTAATTCTGTTTCCTGACAAACCTTACCACTTCACCTGGTTCTTGTGCTTCCAGTGATCTTCTTCGATCCTTTGATTCCCTTCGCCAGTCTCGCTCTCAGATTAACTCTGAATATTCTGCTACACACTGCCCGTTATTCACTTCCTGCTAGACTACACTGCCAGACCACACTACATGCTACACACTGCCGGTTATAAGGCATAAAGTGACTAACACCCAGGCACCTACTTACTGCTAGATGAACAGGGGCAGCAGGTATGAGGTGACTAACACCCAGGTACCTACTTACTGCTAGATGAACAGGGGCAGCAGGTATGAGGTGACTAACACCCAGGTACCTACTTACTGCTAGATAAACAGGGGCAGCAGGTATGAGGTGACTAACACCCAGGTACCTACTTACTGCTTGATGAACAAGGGCAGCAGGTGTAAGGAAACATGTCAAACATTTCACCCGTGCCCAGGAATCAACCCGGGTCCCTCAATTTACATTATACCATCATTTAGGAAGAGACTGCAGTGAGACTGAACCAGTATCGTACTAGTCAAGAAGACGGTCTACGAAATCCTCCGAAAAAAACACGACCTTACACAGAGTAGAAAAATATTTTGACTCGCAAAATCGTAATACGATTGTAAACAAACCACGGAACGGGTGGAGATTAAACCCATTCCGTGGTTTTTCCACTTTATTTTGAACTGATGAGCGAGTCTCGTACTGCCAGCTTAAAACCCAGGGTGTGTTTGTGGTCGTGGTGTGGCAATACTGACAAGAACAACAAGAAGTTACATTAGTGTGACAACAATACGAAGGTACGTCAGTGTGGCAACAATGACAAAGAACAACAAGGTACGTCAGTGTGGCAACAATGACAAAGAACAACAAGGTACGTCAGTGGCAACAATGGCAAAGAACAAGGTACGTCAGTGTGGCA